CACCTTTAAGATGCTCCTAGCCTCTCTGCCACCTTCATGACCCGTTACCTGATTGATTTAAAACCGCCGATGATTTCCCAGCCTCTCTACAGTTCAGATGTGGCTCTCTCATAGTTTTCGTTTCCTGCGCTTGAAAATCCAATGAAGGAACATCATTTTGGACAAGTCAAAGAGGCTGACACCAAAAGCAATCTGAGAATAAACCAACTTTGATGCCTGAAAATGTCAGAAACAATATATGGAACCAGAAGAAGCCTATTTTAAAATCTTTTAATGTATTACACTCGCTGATCTAATGTGTTTAGTAACATTACTTTTCAGGCAAACCCTGTATTATACATTTATTATATAATAACTGTAGAACTTGTCTTTTATTGAAAAGAGGCATAATTTTTTTTTTAATGTAGTGTTTTTTATACATTTTCCAATATTTTTTAGAGCCATAATTATTTAAAGTCATTTAGTTCAAACTAAACATTTGCATTATTGGCATTTAAAAAGAAAAAGTGTTTTTGTTCTCCATGTTTCTATGGGTAGAACTTTTTTTTTTTTTTTGAATGACTCAAAAGAAAAATTACAATAATAAATATTAGCTTATGACATTTTTTACTATGACTAAATTAATCTTGGCATAAAAGACTTCTTACTCATTGCATTTGTTTTGAGCTCTTTCTCTCTCCCTCTTTTTTTTTTTCATTTATGACTATTAGAATTTTTGAAAATTAATATCGAAATTTTTTTCCCTTTAATATATATGTTTTAATCTGTATGTGTTATTTTTTTTTCTAGTTACTTGAGACTAGCAGCCAATTACTTAGCTTGTAATTTCAGTATAATAATATTTTTACCTGCCACATATAATCTTCCAATAATTTAAGATCTCAATTATGCATATAATTAAACAAAACTCTTGAAAAACAAGTTAGGTAGTTATAGATTTTATAAATAATTAAAACCTATACTAACTTATTTCTAGTTTTTAGTAGCAAACCTTAGAAAAACTTCTTTATCACTTCACATGGAAACACTAATTATTAAAAAAATTGTCATTTAGTTAAACTATAATTTCTATTATGTTAATGGTCTGAAAAAGCTGAAGGTATTTCTGTGAAGATATTTTGTTAAATTTTGAAGCTTGTTACTGATTTTAAAATGTGTCGCACCAATCAGCAACATTCCTCCTTCTTGAAATTATTACCTTAAGAAAAGAAGGAAAAAAAACAACACTGACCTGATTTCAAAGGAGTGGTTGTTGAATGAAAAGAAACTAGGCTGATTGGAGTTCTTATCACTTTTCAACTTGTTATGCTTTTATAAATTGCTGTAATTGCTTATCAAAATTTATGATTTCCTTCTTTCAATTACTAGTCTAAGCTGACTTCCTGGTTTTTAAAGATAAAGTTATTCAAAGTAGTAAGAAAGAGAACATGCAAATTTGAAAATAAATAGTAAAATAAAGGATTGGATACTTAAAGCCTTATTAGAAAAAAAATTGCACAATATTTATAAATAAAATTATTTAATTCTTTTTTAAAAAACTAATTAATTAATTTTTTAAAAATTAATACAAATTGGTTGAGGTAAGGGAAAACATATTTCAATAAATTTGGTTTGTCACTCAGTTTGTAACTCACTCCCAGATCTGTATTGGTTTTAGCTCCCCGTAAATTATAAGAACAGATACTTTATTTTAAGATTTGGTGATCATTCATTTCAATAAGGCATAGCATAATTTGATCAATTTACTTGTGATAAGGAGAAAAAAAAATTTTTATCAAATGTTATTTTAAGAAATCTCTTTTTATTTAGTATTTTTCGTTTGCTGCTCCGTTCATTTTTTTTTTTCGAACATCATATTATTTACTGTTTTTAGAAAGTAAATCCTCAAAAGCATTCTGTGTGCCTGGTTCCCTGCATTCTGTGTGCCTGGTTCTGTGTGCCTGGTAATATGTAAAGGCATTACTGGTCTTGTTTGCAATTTGAAGACTGCCACAGTAACTACTCTGATTAATTTGTAATTGAAGAGGCCCTCTGTGATGAAACTTTCCCATTGCTTTCCTAATGATAGTCTCTTTAATTGCTGATACTTCCATATTTTGGTCGCTATTTTTATTTAAACTTTGACGGAATTGATGTTGTTTGGAACTCTGGCTTATGGGAGTGTTGTTCAATGTTTATCTAATTAATCAGCCATTTTGTCACTGTTAATGAGATAATTTTGTGCCTTGGGATCATTTGAATTTTTAGTGCTAAAATTTCCCTACGTTATTTGCTTGTCATCAAATTCTTTCACATTAAGGTAACAAATGTACTATTTAGTTTTCAGTGATACTATTAGTATTTGACCCTTGGAAAATTTATTTTAAATTATCTAATTAATTAAATTATCTATATTTAAAAAAGGAGACTCTTAATTATGTTTGGAAAAATCACCTAATTTTGAATTTATAGACTGCTATGAAATTTTTGTTTAAATTCTTTGTAAGAATATTACTAATTACATTTTTTTCTTATCTTAAAATATTTACTTTTCATATTTATCTTTAAAATAAGTATATTATTTTTAATAGGGACCCTCTTCTTAAGGAAAAAGTACCTTGGTTTTTGTAAGTCAAAGTCCCAAGGGCTTGTACTTACCAAGGTTACAGAGTTCGAGGTATCAATATGCTTCTCCGTTGAGATGAAGAAGCAATCACAGGATACTTCAATTTGCTTCAAAATGGCAATCGCATTGGTATTCCTGCGATCCATCTAACGAGAATTCCATCTCTTGTACCCCGCCCTCATGACGAGCCACCACAGGAAGATATTACTGTTATGAGTTCCTTGTTCAATAATCATATACATGACCAGCGTTTTTGCAGTTTGATGGTAAAGAAACCTTTGCTTAGTATTTTGTTTATTTATTTATTTTTTTTTTTTGATCAAGTACCAATTTATACAGTTGGTTTGCTTCAGGATTATTAAAGTGAGTACTTAATGGAAATATTGCAGCATATTCTTTATGTTTTGGCGGTGAATCTTTTAATCATCACATCCAAGAAAGTACGACTCCATTTACTCCAAAGACAATAATGGAATATTTAGTGATTTATTTGTAATTTGATTTTAATCCTGTTGAAAAGAGCAGTTATCATTTTTAAAACACCTTATGAATAAAATGTATTAATGTGAAAATGAAATAATAAAGTTGCAATATTATTATCTTTTTAAGCATCTTTAAAAAACATTTTAATATTTAAGGATTGGAATTTTTTGTTTAATTTTAATAAAATGTTTAAGTTAAGATTTGCTTGTACTTTAAATAATTTAATTTTTAAAATATTTAAGAGTGAGTGTGTTTAAACATGGTTTATATGAAAATGTCATTATGAATTATTTTTGTTGAAATTAAGTTAATGAATCAATATTCTATGGTTGAATATTTGGCTGTAGTAATCAGTTATTTGGCCAAATCACTTTATGTTGTATCAACATAGCATTTTTTTTAACGTTTTGCTCATATTTTTTTCTTCTTCAAAAACTTACTTTGAAACCTGAATCTGAAAACGGCTAAAAATTTTATTTTGATTTTTAAGAAATTATTGCTTTTTAAAATTAATTTCTAATTAATCAAAATTCATTAAAAAAATGAGTAAAATATAAAAAACTTATATATTGCAGTTAAAACCAGTTTTTAAACATTGACAAACTAAATTAATAAACATATTTATATTAACTAACTTCTTTTTATTACAGAAATCTCTTTTGGCCTAAGATATATGCTAACTACTAAAGAATGATTTCAATCATTCTTATAATCATTTCAGTCATTCAATATAAAGTGATTTTAAAGTTTAAATAAATATAAATTATTTCTTATTTATTACCGTATTTTTTAACCAGCATATTAATTTAAGAAAAACAGTTTATTAAATCAGATTTCTCAGTTAGCATGGCCTTTATTTAAGCGGACAATTTTCTTTCTCTAAAGAGATATTTGTTTCACTATATAATTTTCGTGTGAGTTTCTTTAAAAAAAGTTTGGCAAATGCATTCAACCTTTATTTTTTTATTCTCTTTTCTCACAAAAAAATAACATTTCTTGAAATGTACATCTGCATTCTATTGTGTGCTAGCTTAATTCACTTAAAAATGTATTACGTTACAAATTATGCTTCAATATATTGATAAATTGTGTCATTCAATTGCAAAACTGACCATCTCCAAAAAAATTTCAGAAAATGCTGATTTTCTGCAAAATTTAGCCAAATTGTTATTGGAACCAAAACTCTTTGGTTTAAGAAGTTTTATGACAATTAGCCATTTTGTTGAAGTTGGCTGATTTTTCTGCAAATGAAAACTTAAATTGACATCTCGTTGCATCTTGCTTTTAAGCTTGCAAGTAGGCAAAAATGTTTATTTTAATTAAACAATTTAAACAACACAAAAATTGAAATCATAGTTAAAGAACAAAGTTAAATTGATTATATAATAAAAAGAGCAAAATTAAATTCATTTGAAATTTTTTTCATGTTAAGACTAAGACTTCTGAAAAGTGACCAAGGAAAAATAATTTTGGAAATCACCATGAAAATTATGCAACTTTTAATATTGAATGATGTGACTCATAAGTCATAAAATTTTTATAGCTTGTGATGAATGCTATGATGATATGTTACCAAAATATATACTGGTGATAAGTAAATATCATGAAATGTTTGATAATAATTGCTGTAAATTTGAATTAAAGAGCAGGAACCGAAGACCAGAAGTCAGCATGGTAAACAATTACTTAGTAAAGACTTAAGTTGTTGTTTTTTCTGTGACATAGTATAACTTTATTTTTTTTTTTTAATGTATTGAAAGATAGTACCTCCTTTGGAAAAAATGCATTTCCGAAATGCGAGAAGATAACCAGTTCTGCAACTGAATGACACGATTGATGAATAAATTATAAATATCCTGTCCATATTTTTCATGCTTTACAGTTATTAAAAAGTCTTTTCATATAGGTATAAGAAAGTCCTTTGATTGTGATTATTAAACACTATGACTAAAAAGCGGAAAATCTCTTCAATACTTAATTGTGCTGGATGAGTGCCATCAGAAAGTCTAAAATTGATGTTGCCATTAGCTTGCTATCAAATAGCGATAGTAGTGACCAAAGGTACTTTCCATTCTTTTAATTATGCCTTTGAATAAATGTGCAGGATGCTCCATAATCACAGCCCTTGATATGTTTTTCTAGAATCCCTGTCAAAAAAGAAATAAGAGAAGTATATACATCAAGGGTTAAAATTGAGAAAGAACTAGTGAAAAAGTGAGGATGAAAAGTCAAAACCACTTTGATTGCATGACAAAACTTGCAGTCATTTCAAATTATCACTTTTCAACTTCTCTAATAATCAAATAGGTTATGATGTTTTTCAGTTCGGTCTTCCTCTGTAGTGATGTGTTAAATTTCAATATCAATTTTCTCTCACTTAAATATTAATTTTGCACCCTTGAAGTGTATACTCTTTTGCTCAATTTTTGAAAGATTATATAAATTAAGTGAGGTTCTTAGAGACATACCTCTCTGTATGTAGCTGAATTATGAAATAAGTATGTGACACAGAGCTAAACAAGGGCATCTTAAACTATTTCCACTATTGTGTGATACAACCAATATAATTGCTATCATTTCTACTACTTTTTCTCAATATAACAAAATCATTGTATTGTTAAAAAATTTAGTTCTTAATTAATGTACAAATTCTTAAAAGAATATTATTATTCTTGTTGATTAAAAGTAGATATTGAAGTTCTAGAAAGCAGTTTTCGTAAATATTTATTTATTTGAATAAATAAATAAAAAATGCTTGTTGCAATATAATAGCAACTAATCTGCATTTTTACAGTACAAGAAGATTATTATGTATGTTTTTGTGACTTCATTTAAATTCAGAATTTCATTTGGGTTTAGGATTAAAAGTTCAAACCTAGGCTATTCTGGTTTTTTAATTCTGGTAAGCCTACAGTTTTAAGTACAGAGAAAAGTTTGGACTAATGCTCAGAAAGTTAATTAATTTTATGAAGATTCTTAGCATTTAACTTTAATGAGAAGATTCTGGAACATCCTGTATACCAAACATGTATAATTATTAAAAATTATTATGTTTCTTCTTCTCAGACTATTGTGTCATTTTTTGAACTGTTTTCGGTTTTTTCAGTGAATTACCGATGAGGGTACGAGTCAGCCTTAAATTGCTTTTGGTCATTTTCACCATATTCATTCTTTTCACTATACTCACTTATTGGACGAGCTGTTCAAAAGAAAAGCAGTGGCAAATTGTGGAGCCTTGTGTTACACCAGTAGTGAAGAAAATAGAAAGTTCTGATTTATTTAAATTTGATGAAAACAATGCAGATGATGATGATGGAGGTCAACGGGTTAAGCTCCGAAGTGGACTACGAGCTTTGGAAGAAATTGATTGTTTCATCAACGATGAATACACAGTCTCCTGTAGGCAAGATAATGGAGAAGTATACATTCCATATTCGTTTATTCGCAAGTACTTTGAAGTCTATGGAAAGATAGTAAAACATAGTGGAGTTGATCGCTTTGAATGGCAGCACAGTTATTCCAAAGTTTATTTTCCCAAGCAAAAGTACAATCCCAGTAAAGTATTCCTCTGGTTTGAAAATTATAATGTAGAAGTTAGAGATAGAGTGAAATGCATTAGTGGAGTTGAAGGTAAGTATCAAAGTGATTTATGCTATCAACTTTATTTAGTTTTTCTCTTAGATTTTACTTAATCAGCTACCTATTATTTTTAACTTATGTATATTTTATGTTTCTAGAGGATTTTTCTATTTTTCACTCCNTTTTTTTTTTTTTTTTTTTTTTTTTTTTTTTTTTTTTTTTTTTTTTTTTTTTTTTTTTTTTTGCTTTACTTCAACCTTGATGCTGAATATTTTAATTACATTAAACAAATTTCTTTAGAAAAATCCAAGCATTTACAAGGATATTGGAACACAGCATGCTAATATTGCTGAAAAATAATACAATATTTTTTTGCCAAATTCAAAAAAGAAAATCTTGACTCTTAAATTCTTTTTTGAAAAAAAATAATTCTTTTTTTAAAAAAAATATACAGTCAGACCTTGATATAAAGTCACCCAGAATTAATAAAGAATTAAAGAAAGTTAGATTTTTTAAAAAATTTATTTAAAATAAAGCTGTTTACAAATTTCCTCAAAGTGTGCATACATACATTACATCTTACCTTATTTAAAATAATCATTTATGCAGATCTGTCTCGTTTTTGGTTTCATTTTTCGAACAATGTTTTCTGGATTTTGTAACTTCTCAAAATGTTCCTCAGCTCCTTCATGGTTTGTAAAAAACTTTTGTATGACATTTATTGCATTGAAGGCTTCCACTTGGGGTACAGCTACAGTTTCAGTATCACTGTCAATGTCCTCACTATCCACAACTTGTGAAACAATTTCAGAAATTGTAGCTTGGCCGTTGGCTGCAACATTTTCCAAGAACTCGAGAGGGGTAATTGCCTTGTAAGGAAGTTAAATAGACTTTAGTTCGAAAGAAACTACCCTAGCCTCAGATAAAAATGACCTTATAAGCAATAACGATTTTTAAAGCTTGACCATATATCCGATAATCTGTAACAAAGAATTCCTATTTAGTGAGCCGGGACTTTGGAAAAGTGACCTTATATGCTGGGTGACCTTACATGCGTATGACCTTATATCGTGATCTGACTGTATATGATTTATTTTTTCCTAATTGTTATTTTTTTAATATTGTTTTTATTTTAAAATATAAGTTTAATAATGACTACTGAAGGGGGGTGGGTGTTACGAAAGAAACTCCCATTTTCAATGAAAGCTTTTATGAAGTGTTCTCTCTCCTTTAAATATTTCTTCGATTTTTTCTGTTATAAAATTGTACTTAAATATTAAAAAGTGACTGTTATTATTTAACTTCTAATAATTGATTCATAACATATTTAAATTATATTGCATATTTAAAATTTTTTGCTATTGAAATATCAATTATTTGGATTGATAAAGGCATTAAAGGGCACAAATGCATCTAATAATGTTAAGATCTGTAAAAATATTCAGAAATTTTAAACTGCTGACACAATCACCTTAAATCATTTTATTTAATGTGATTTTTTAAATTTCTTTATCTATATTTTTTTGTTTTTCTAAGGTCAAGTTATTATACATAAAAATATTTGTCAAACTGTAGTTAAATAACAATTTGTTTTGATATTTCCACTTAATTTTATTTTGAAGAAAATTATTTGTGAAATTAAATTTGATTTCATTTTGTCTGTTTTGCAAGTAATGATATGTTTTTATTACATTTTCATTAAATTTAAATCATTCATTTACATGTATTATGTGTTAATGTAAACTTAATTTTTATGCAGGATTATAGTTTGAAATATTTTTTTTTAATCATTTTTAATGATATTTCAATTTTAATTATTTTATAAAACTTAACTAATTATAAACTCAAATTCTTAAAGTATCTCTAAAAAATTGAATCTGATTTAAATTTTAAAAAATCATATGTCTACTGTATTGTGGCATAATTAGGGTGACCAGATTTTTTCGGGCGATTCCGGGGACACTCATCTCTACTNCTCTCCCCCCCCCCCCCATTTTATCGACAGAAAAAATTGGGGGGGAAATTTGATCGTTTATCTTTAAAAAAAAATTTTTTTTATAATTTAGTATATAAATTATATCGTTAAAATCGTGATCATAACATTTTTACACAATTTTAAAATCTGTTAACAAAACAATTGTATTGCTTTTAAAATTATACAATTTCTTAACACCGTATTTTTCTAAAGAATGAATCTTCTTTAAAATTTCAGTATTTTTTTCGAGTAATTGAGAAAATATGTCATGAAAAATCCAAATTAATCAGTACAGATAAAACCACTTTCACTGTATTGACATCCATTCGCGATTTTTCTTTAGTCCAATAGTTATTTATGCGCGAAAATACCCGTTCTACAGGCGCATTGCTGCTTGGCCAGCACATTGCAAGCTCAACAATTCTTTTGATATTTGTAAATGGTATACTGTTTTTTTGAAAATAATTGTTTATATCGCGCCATTTGTCTGTTATGTGTTCGGATTGGTACCATTTATCGTCTTTTGAATCCAAATAACCTTCAAGATAAGTAAACTCGTCTAATAAATCGTCGGAATTAACATTCAAAATTGCACATTTTGAAGAGAGAGACAGAAGTGCCTCGTCAAATTCAGACCGTGAAGGCTTACAATCTAAAAGAAGGCACTTCAAATCAGACATATCATCGTTGTTATCGTTCCAAGCTTCTAAATATGAAATCGCAGCTTCATAGAATTCTTTCGACGTTTCTAAATAAGAATCTTCAGTGATGATATTCTCAGCAATCAATTTAGTCAATTCAGGTTTTACAACAAATGGAACAAATTTGGCATTCTTTCGTGCTTTCAATTTAAATATCAAATCCTTGACAACCGCTCCAGATTCAATAACACATTTGTCATCGCTTTCAATTTTCAAGATGCTTTGATTAAAAATTGCAGCATGCGAATGCGCAAAAAACAACCGTAACTCGGTTGTTTCACTCTCAAAATAATTCTTCAAGATTTTTGGGCACTTTTTTTCAGACATAAATTCTTTAAGAGATGAATAAATTTTAAGAATTCTTTCTACACCAGGAAGTAATGTCAACCACCTAACATGAATGTGTCCTAAAATTTGATGATATTCTTGGCCAGCATACTCACAAAATTCTTTCAGTCTTTCAATTCGGACTGTGTAAATTTTAAAATAACTAAAAAGTTTAGATACCATAACTTCAATATCTACAGGCAAACAATCAAAAGCAGTTTTAGCGCCATTATGTATAATATGCGCATTACACCCAAAACCAAAAATATCTCTTCCTAACTCAGTTTGAAGTTTAGTATGAACATTTTCTGTTCCTCTTCTTAAAAATCCTCCAAAATTAGTGTTAGTATTATCCGCAGACAAACCAGCCATTTTATCCTTCAATTGGAACTCGAATAGTGCGTTTATTATTTCTGAAGATAAAATCTTTGCAGTTTGTCCTTTAATTTCGTTTAGTGATGCAAGTTTATTATTAATTGCATCTTTAGCACAGTCCCACTGAAAATACCGCACTAAAATAGAAAGTAATTTTACATGATTGTGATTAGAAGTATCGTAAGATATTGTTACAAATTGATCAGACTGTAAATCTTTCTTCAATTCAAGAAATGCCCACGGAGAAAAAACATTGACAGCGATAGCTTGGCATTTTGTTCGGGCACAAGAAAATTTCTTGTCTACAAATTTCTTCTGTAAATTTGAAGTACAGTCCATGCTGCGAAACGATTGGTTGTGACGAATGGTGTGAAATGCAAGCGTTCCTTCATATGTTGCTAAGTCAAACTCCTCTTGGGGTGGATCCAGCTTACGAAGAAACTGTTTGACGGATTTCGTTTCTGTTTTTGCTGCCAAAGCTTCTTTGTGTTTAATTGTAAGAATGTGATCTGTTATAGCTGTTCGTCCTCCACTTCCAACTGAAAACGTTGCTCCACACATTGTACATTTTGTTTTGGAAGAATTATCAGGATTCGGTTCAATAAATGGAAACTCGTTTTTCCAATCATCCAAATAATGGCATTTTCTTTTTTTTGTTTCTGTTGCCATATTGACATCTATTTTAAAGAAATGAAAATATTTTTCTAAATATCTATTATGATAACAAATTAATGAGGTTTTCATAATGTAGAATAATTAGAATTTATAAAAATTAATTAGTCGTAAGTGATAATAATAACAATTTCATAAAAAATGGTTTTATACTTTATTGGTTAGATATTTAAAAAATGTTTACCTGATTATAAAATGTTTTAGTTATTTTTCTAAAATAAAACGGAAATGTAGTAATTGTTGTTTTTAGTGGAAGTTAGCTAATATTGGCAGTTTATGTAACCCAAGATATTAATTGTTTTAAAAGCAGCAACTAATATTCATGTTACGTCTTGTTTTAAACTTATTTTCTTATATAAACATGTCTGGCGTACAGCCTTGTAAAAATGTAAACATAACTAGATATTAAAGTTATGTGTTCCAAAATTTCTGTAGTAAAAGTTATAGTGTGTTCTTAAAAACTAGTTTACATTTAATTTTCAATGCTTACATTAATTTGTATGAAAATTTTTGAGAAAATAAAAATTACATATAGCATATTTTTATCAAATATTTTACACAAAATTTTTCAATTTTATAACCGGGGTCACGAGGTCCTCGCCGGGAACAATCCCCGGAAATCGGAGACGTCTGGTCACCCTAGGCATAATCAACAAATTAAAGACAATATTTCTCCCTTCTATGCCTACAATGAGAAAAATTGATTTTCTTTACAGAAAAGACTTGGAATGCACTAACATTCTTTAAATATCAGATGGTTAATGAATATTATGCAGAACACCTTAAACTTTAAGAACCAGAATTAATAAATTTTTTTCATTGATTTATAAAAAGAATTCAAAGTTAGATAATTTTATAAACATTTATTAATCATTGTGAATCTCAAAAAAGCTTGGCACCTAAAAATAGTGCAATACTTTAGTTCATTTTAACCTGTTTATTAAACCTGAAAGTCTGAATATTTTCATAAAAGAGAAAAATATTAACTGAGATGTTAAAAAGTTTGCATTGGATTCCCTCTTTTGCTCCATTTGTTTTGATTTATAGCATCCATGAAGTATTCTTTTCCAGAAAAGATGTTGTATGCATAACAAGTTCTATCAATCATGCATTGATCTCATGTTGTGGATGAGCTATACAAATGGTACAGCAAAGTATGAGGTGTGTAGTTGTAGCTGATTCCTCCTCAAAAGTTGCAATGGGGTATTCCACCTCCTTTAAAATGTTAAGAATAACATGAAAAATGGAAACGCTAACATAAAATGTGTCATTGTTAATCATGCACACAAAAATCCTGGATGTACACCATCAGTAAAAGGTGTGTCAAAGATGATGATTCTGTATTACAGTACATGAAAGTATTTTACACGTACAGTCTACTCTCTTTAGTGTGACCCCCCCCCTCCCATTTCTGCAACAATTTCATTATAATGGCCAATACATAAAGTACTGTTTGCTATTTCATCTAATGTTGATTTAGCTTCCATTAAGAACTCTAAACTAAGTCATTCATTCCAATATAGCGACTGAATTTTTTTTTTTTTCAATTACTCCAGATACAAGTGTTAAGCATTTATGCAATTTCAAGACATTTTTCTATTGACAGTGTATCAATGGATAGCAAAAGTCTCAAGGAAAAAGTTAAAACTCCTATATCTTTTTAAGTTACTGTTCCATAAATGTGAAACAGCTTAAATTCTTAATAAATGAAGAAGTGATAAGACCACTAATTCATATTCTAGGCATAATATTACAAAAATGATGAAATAGCGATTACTTTTCATTATTGAAAATAGAAGTATATATTGCACTTTTGTGTGGAAATTATAGTCACCTATATGCATTCATAACCTTTAAGTTTCGTTATAAAAGTTTGAATAAATTCAAGAATCTATTTTTCTTGCTTGAGAACTGTTTTCACTCTTATGGTGAAGTTTTGTAATAGGCAGTATATTTTGGAGTTTACACACATGGTACCCACATTTTTTATTTTTTCCTTACATTTAGTGATTCTCTTGAGGCATATTATTTGGCAAAAGCAGCTGCTTATAATGAGGATAAAGCCATATGCTTGGAAAAGAAATTAAAAATTTCGAAGGAAATGGATAGAAGTATAAGGTTTTTGTAAAATTAATACAGTATTATGAGTTAAGAGTAAATATTTGCTATAGTTTTGTTCATTCATGATATAGCCACCTCCCGTTATAACGTCCATTTTCATTTGAATCGGTTTATAGTATGGAGCGTTGTTGGCAGGGTTGGCTTTCTGCCGGCAGAAACTAAAAATACGTCTATATTAGTTCTAGTAATTGCTTAATAACATTTTGTTTAAGTAAGCTGAAAAATGTAACTCCATATAACAGTAACAAACTTTTTAATTTATTGTTTGTGAATATATATTATTTTGTTTATATTAATTATAAAGAGTGCAGTATATCAAATATTTATATACAAATTGGACCAATCTCCTAAAACTTATTTTTCCTGTCAAGTTTCGACAACTACCCCAGCTGCTACATGGTGGTACAGTTTTGAAAGATATGCAATAGATGAAAGTTTCACAAATCTTGCTTGTTCCTTGATGGCATTGCCTGCTAGTTCTGCTGGACATTTAGAGAATCTTCTCAAATTTCATGTTCGTGCATAGGCAAATTGACAAATTGTTTAGATTTAGAAACTGCATCAAAACTTGTCTTTTGTTATAGATTACTGCAGAGTGCAAACAATGTAATATTTGATTTTGAATGGTGATAATTTTGTAAATAAATTGTACTTTGTTTAACATTTAATTGTTTTTTCTATGAATTATCCATTGTATGTCAATCTCAGTACTTACTTTTATGTCATTTTCTGAATTTCTGCCATGCCGGTTTCTACCAGTAGTTTTAACCACTTCGGCAGAAACTTGCCAACCTTGGTCGTTGGTATATTAAGGACAAAGTATCAAACTATTTGCTGAATTTAAAGATTTTGTAGAGCTCTTTGCAAAATACTATATTTATGACTATTTTATTTATTTAATATTAGATAATATTAAATTTAAAATATTGTTTTTATGTAATTTCATAAAACAAAAACAATAATTTCCAATGGGTTCCTGGAAATTTTTATAGACTTCTGATTGTTACTGTAGTTGTTTTGTTTAAATAATAGTTTCCTTGATATGGGTAAGATTGAAATTATTTTAGTCACCTCTCTGAACTGAAAGATGCGAACTAAGTGATATCATTATATTTTAATTCAGTATTCTTCTATATATGATGCTATGGTGGACAAAAATTTTGCATTATACCTTCCTTGATATTTATTATAATCGACAAGAGCTATTGTTGTTTTACAGGCTTTAGAAAACTAATGTAACTTTTTCTATTATTTTATTATACATTATACAGATTTTATTAAATTTCTCTACACAATTGTTTCATTTTTAGGAGTTCCTGTTTCAACTCAATGGGACACAAGAGGTCACTTTTATCCGATACAAATTGCTCAATTTGGTCTCAGCCATTTCAGTAAAAACTTAACTGAAAGTCCTCCTTCCATGAAATTTATTGAAGATGGAGAAACTACTCAAAATGCAAAATGGCTTTATTCACCCAGAAGTGGTCTGAAAAGAGTGATGGATTCTGTTGCTGATAGCTTAGTAGTTGAATTCAGAACACAAGGTTATCAAAATGTTCTGTTAATATCATATTTCTTTAGTTTAATTACTTTACATTGTTTTTTCATCTTGCCTTGTTTCTTTTATTCCTGGTTAAGATATAAATAGCATACTTATAGCATAGAAGGTGATGTAATTTTTTAATAATAACAAAGGCCTCTAAAAAATTAGTATAATTTCTATTTGACCCTAAAAAAAATTTGTGATATTTTCAGGTATTTTAAAAAGTTTTACTTTTGGTTTTTAATTTTTTATACAAATTTTCAGGTTTTTGAACATTTTTTGTTTTATTTTTTGCAATTAGGAAAATGTTAATAACATTAAAGTTAAAAGTTCTTGTTTCTTTTACATAGACAGCAAGCTTTCTATTTTTCCTTATGTTCTTATTGTTTTGGTACCTATCCATTCTTTCTCTATTACTTCTATACTTTTGCTTATTTTTAAAAACTATTTGTTCAATTGATTTATCATTGATTGAATTACTATTTTTACTTCATTTACTATCCCAGTGACTCAAAGTGAATTATTATATTACATGTACAGGCATAGAGCCGTGTGTGAATTCCTTGCAGTAAATCTTTTGTTTGCATTTTGCCAATTCATTTTCTGGGTGATAATAGAAAAGGAAAAATCTAGAAATAGATAAATTTTAATGCATAAAATGTTTTGAATACATTTGTTTTTATTAAACAATCAGACTGTTAGTGTTTGGCTGGCAATCCTAAAATAGTTCAATTTTCTAAATAATCATGGGGGTAATTTGTTTCTCTTTCCTATTTTCGCACTATATTGTAACAGGTACATAATAAAAAAAATTTGTAAAACATAGTTTGTATAATTTCTGAATCTGAACCCTAAAATTTTATTCATTGAAAAAAATATTTGTTAACTAAGCTCATTCTGCACTCTTAATACAGTAAAGAGAATATAATATATATCGTAGAATCAAAATAATAGAACTGTAAAACATTTCATCTCAAAATAATGGATTATCATATAATTAAATCACTTTGTGGTTTGTTAAATATGTATTCAACTCTTTTTTTTTCTTACTTTTGTGATATAAAATTCTTATACTTAGTTTTTTTGGTTCACCTAAAAAGAGTATATAATTTTAATTAGTGTCAGTGGTGAGGAGGCCAATTAAAAAATTTGAGGGTGGCCGCCCACCAGGAAAACCTTTAAAACTTGGAATTATCAGGGAAATGTGAATAAAAAATCAGGGAATTTTAAAGAAAAACTGGAATTTTTTTCTTAATTTGAATTCTTTTACCATACGTTATACCCTCTCTTTTAGACCGAAATTCATCGACAAACTGTTAAAATATCATCAACTTAGCAATACTTTGCTTGCATTAAAATTTACTCCATTATGAACCTGTTGAACTAGAATGCTACATGAAGCTCTCCCATGGTTGCTAAATGACCTTCTAGTTGGGCAATTCCATGGTAAGGTCAACCATATGACCAAAATTTTAATATTTTTTAGCAAACAAGGTATTAGGTAATAATGACTTTTAACTTATAAATATCAGTTTTAAATAAGTTATAGGCTATTAAAGGAAGGGCTACATCATTTGAAATTTTTAACTGTATTAAGTGAATCTCTTAACAGTTACAGTTATAATTTTTTTTTAAACTTCACACTAATAATAGAAATTTTAATAAATAATAATTAAAGTAAACTGTAACAAAACAGGTTCTCTTGCACAAATGTGTAGAAATATTTCACATTTTGATTTAAAAAAAAATTTCTCAAGATGCACTTCTGATATTTTATGTCCAACACCAAAATGCATAATTAATTATACTATGCCTCTAGAATTTAACATAATTAAATTATTTTTTCTGTTTGAAACAGGATTCAAAGTCTCATTTGTATAGTCTATTTTAATTTTGAAAATAATAAATATTTTTATTGTAAATTAATCTCTTATTTCGTATTTATAGTAATAAATCTCTTATTTCGTTTTTTCTTTATAAAAGGAAGTGAAATATCAATAGAAACCATCTAAACATTCTTTTAGGTGAATTTACAATAATGTATTCCACCTTAGTAACTCAATAAAATCTGCTTAACTAAGATGTACTTAAAGTTATTTATATTAAAACTTAAAATTGATCAATGAAACTTTTTATCTATTTTTTAATTTAATTTTATGTTTTGTATTTATTTATTTCAGGTAAGCAACTCATTTTTAATTTTTTGTGAAATAATTTAACTTCATTTAGACCATTTTAAATCATTCATTTTGCTTAGAGCTTGAAGAGAGTATGTATTTAGAGAGAAAAATTTTCTTAGAACATTCTGTAGCTATTTATTTTTTGTATTTGTTTTTATTGAGAAAAGCAACTCTGGCCCATACTCAGAAACCGTTCTTGAGTTAGAGCACATGTTTCTACTTAGATTAGCACAAATGCTTGCTAAAGCGTTGCCATATGCATTTAGATGTAAAGTACCAAACCTTGATATGTAAACGAGACATAATTAGTGCTTATGGCACTGGGGCAAACTCAGTTTTTGAACCCTTGAAATATATCTATAAATGATGTAATGTCAGACTTAAAGAACTATTTAGGACTGTTGTAAGTTTAGATTCTGTGTAACTAAATTCATTAATTAGACTTTTGAGCTTTAAATCATGTGTAAATCATCATTTTAAAAACATTCATTTGCTTCAGTTTAAAATTGAACAGTATACATTACTAAAGTATGTAGTTCCTATTATACTTAGTTGTTTATTGTTTTTGATTGAAGGATAAGTATTTATTCTTTTACCAAATTGGAAAAAAGAATTTAAAAAATAATATACCTACATGTATAGCAAACTACTACAATAATACACATACTATTCAATTTTTAGGTAAATGGGATAAAAATTGCTAGCAGTTATTGGGCTGGTAATCAGCAAATAAGACTGGTATGCATTCAGATGATTATATTACTACAAATAGAAAATTTAATTCTGGAATTCATTTGAAATTATTTTTCATAAATTTGGCACATCTCTAATGTTACAACTGGGACATATACCCTTTCTTGTTCCCTGGTATAGCTATACAAGTAAACTAAATACAAGTAAAAGGCATATCGATTAATATCGTCTGCTTGGAAACATCAAATACTGTGCTGAACGTAGATTGTAAGAACAAATGGTAATAACTGTACAAAACGTTTATTTAATTTTATGCCGACAATAATAAAGCTATTAAATTATTATTTTTCCTGCGCTAAAAGGTCTTTTTATCCCCCAAAAAATTTTTATACACTAATAATACAGTATAAAATTTTTGTTTTTTGCTTTTAATGTACAATAACATATTTTTCAATAATTTTTTTTTAATGTATATAAAAATAATGAAACCATTCTGCATTTTTTCCCATGTTATTTTAAAAAAAATTTGTGACAGTTTTTGTTTATTTCCAGAATTTTTTAAATTATTAGATTTAAGGGAAGATTGCTTAAATATGAGTTATATTTACATTGTTATTAATATAAGTTGTGCAGTTAAAAATAAAATTAGTCATTTTTCAATTAACTTTTAGAAGATGGAAAATGTTATAAAACACTTTCATCCATCTATTCCAACAGAAAATCGAGGACAATTTAAAATTCAAGAAGCTGTTTAATCCGAAACAATATTTATAATATTAAATTTAAAGTAATTTTCAGTCATTATAATAATTATGATTTATTTAAATTATATCCAACTTGAAAAATTTACGTTCCACACCTAAAATTTTGCATCTGACACCGAAGTAAAAACTTTCAAATTAATTATGTATTATATTTTACAAATTAAGAACTTCATAGAATTCTTTATGCAAATGTTAGCTTCAAAATTTAGTCAAGTGTACATTTAATTTATAAACAAATTCACAGAGTTTAGACAATTTGTGAATGAGTAATAATATTTTTGCTTTCGTGTGATTTACGTCCAACACCAACAATTTAATCCATTTAATTTTAACTTATTATAATCAGTTTTTATAAAACAAATTGTTTTTTGATAGGTTATGATGCACTAAATATTTGATATAAAAATTTTATGATTGGAAACTTATGTTTTATGAGAGAAATTTTCTAAGAAATTTATTTTCATTTTTTATGTCCGACACCATGGAATTGCTTAGTTGTAAAAACAATTAACTAATCTTGAAGAAATAATGTGGTTAGATTGGAATTCTCTAAATATTTTAATTTCAAATAAGAAAAAATAAACAAAGAATGAAATTTAAAGAATTTTATCTAGTACTTTTCTATAAAATATGCACAAAAAAAAATCGCATTTGCGAAATTTATTTTTAAATACTGGATATCTCTTAAAATAATAATGCTTATTCAAAGCAAACATTATTTAAACATTTGACTTTAGATATTGATTTAAAGAAAATATGATCAACGAATTTTATAAGGAGCATTGTTTGGATAATATACAGTATAAAGTAGCCCTATATTCAAATGGAAATAAATATAAAAAAATTTTATGTATTATCGCCTGGAATTTTTTTCTTTTGTTTAATGGAAATATATTAAGCAGTTATTCACCAAGGTTTTTTGGGTCACTCTGTATTTGCCATTCAGTACATTTTGTGCAAAACTTGAAGTAACACATTCAAACTCTTTTTATTCAATAAAAACAATATATTCTGCAAGCTAAAAATTTTATTTTCTCCACATCTTAATTTTTTAAAAATTAATGTTATACCAAAACTTTAAAAATTTTAAAAATAAAAAACAAAATCTTACTAAGTTCTTAAAATAAATTTAGTCTAATTATTTTTTCAAGATATAATCAAGAAGATAATAAAAATTTGGTTTAAATGAAATAGTTTTCTGAGTAAACTTTTAGTTTTACCACTTATATTAATTCGCAGAATGAATATAAGTAAACATAGCCTGTTTTATAACATAATTTCAGCCAATTTAATAAATTTTGAACTCTGCTCTCATTTAGGATCTCTTCCATTTTATCCAATTTATACCATTTTCTTTGAAAAATTGATTTCTTAAAATATGTCCAACTGTTAACTCAAATGACTTAATAGAGTGTCTACTTTATCATATTACTCAATGCAAACCTTGTTACATTACTTTTTTATTGCAACAATGTAGCTTCTCTCCAGGCATTTACAGTTTTTTGAAATATTTTTTCTGGAATTGATATATTTTACTTTTAAAATTTATTTTTGAGAATTAGAGATTATTATATTATACTTAGAACTAAAAGCAAGACAAATAATGGTTACATCCTTTAAGTATGACAAAAAAAAATTGATAAGAGCCCTGATTTTGGGTTTACCCAAGGCAAGGGTAAATACTTACTTATAAATACCCGACCCACATCTATACCCGACATACAGTCAAAGAGGCATTTAACTACGGAAACTGAAACTTAAAAATTGTTTTTTAACAGATGAGTGTTTGGCTAAATTAAGATGTTTAATGAAGATTATAATATGAGTTTTAAATAAATTAAGAAATAAATCATTGGGCATTAAAATACTAGAGAAAAAGATCACCTGTAAAATCTTAATTTTTTTGCCATGGAATAATTTACCCTTCAATTTACATAAACAATAAATGTGAAAGAAGAGTTAGGATTTTTATATATATACAACCAAACTTCTATTGCTTAAGCATCTACTAAATTTTTTGATAAGTCAAAGAACTTTCTTAACCACAACAAAAATGCTGGATTTAACCATAAATATTTTTTATTGCTGAAAATTTCATGTCGGCTTTTTAAATAAATGTTAATAGAATATATTTTTAACTAAGTTTATTTTAAAGATTTTTCAAAAAATTAATAGGTTTTGAAATATGCATACCAAAGATTAAATTATAATTTTTTAAATTCATTTCATTCTTTATATATTAACACACTTTCTAATTGGCCTTTATTTAAAGTATCAAGATGTGCTTATCGTCTTTATAACTAATTTTATGATTGAACCAGAGAGTTTAAATACAGAAAGCTAGATGGAATAGGGAAACTTTAAATTTGTAAAAGGGAATGGCGAAAAAGAGCAACTAATCGCCTTCAGTGCTTGATTTTTTTTCTCCGATATGCGCCTGGTCTATGTATCATTTTTGGGATCCATAAAGTCCATTGCCCATTTGAAAGTGTTAAGCTTCAGAAGGCAGGTGTCCTAGATTCTGCAGTGAGAATAATGTGTAAACTGTAATGAGAATAATGAATGAGCCCCTAAAGTCTAGTGATGATGCTGTTTACTTGAGGTTTTTATTTTTTTATAAAGTGAGATAAAACTTAAATTGCACTATACAAAAGGTATGATATTAAATCAATAACTATTCAGAAATTTTTTATCCTGTTTTCTGAGAAAATGTTTATTTAATAGAATTATTGAGTCAGTAAAAAATATATTTATGTATGAATCTATTTTATTTTTTAGGTACAGATAGAGAAGTGTTGTCCATTGATGAAGATGTGGAGGAAACCACATTAAACTGTGATTTAAAATTTATTTCCAATGCCAGTGTAACTGTAATTTTAAGTAGCCTTGGTGACCATGCATTATATAAAATTCATTATGTCATGTCTGATGTGCTCATCTCTGTACAGGAGTATGATGTATACTATGGAATAGGAACAAGTGATCAATGGAAAACTTTAACTAGAGATTTAATAATAGACTTCAATAAAGGACTGCCATCAATGCAAAGCAAGAAAAAAATAGCTAAGCCTAAAAATTTACAAGTCCGTTCCATCATTTTTTCTGGCTTTGGAAGAGTAGATAACATGAGCTTGAGTTCTACCTCCCACATGGCTCATTTTTTTGCTGCAGCTAACTGGTTAGTTAATCACCAAGATAAGAGTGGCGGGTGGCCTATTAAAGTCACTCGCAAACTTTCTAATGGAATGCTGGAACTAGCTCCTGGCTGGTATTCTGCTATGGCTCAAGGCCAAGCAATGTCTTTATTAACTCGAGCATTCAAAGTAACTGGTGATCTTCACTATCTGGAAGCTGCTTTACGGGCTATAAAACTTTTCTATATTCGTTCTGAACGTGGAGGAATATTAACTACATTTTTGGGGAAATATGTGTGGTATGAAGAATATCCTACTATTCCAAGCTCATACGTGCTCAATGGTTTTATTTATTCTCTTTTTGGATTATATGATGTACAACAAAGTGGTCATCATCAACTTTGTCGGGAAGCTGGGAAACTTTTTCAGGAAGGCCTAGTTTCTTTAAAAAGAATGCTGCCTCTGTTTGATACTGGTTCAGGTTCAGTCTATGATCTTCGCCATTATTCACTTGGTGTTGCACCAAATTTAGCACGTTGGGATTACCATAGCACTCATATCAATCAACTTCTGTTCCTCAGCACTATTCATGATGATCCTATTATAAAATCGATTTCTGAAAGATGGACAGGCTACATGAAGGGAAAAAAAGCTCCTCATAACTAATGCATAAAATTAAAAAGAACTGTTTGTATTTTGTGGTAAAGTTGTTGAGTAATGGTTGGCACAAAAAGTATAATCATTATAAGAGTCTCTTTTCAGTGAATTTAATCTAATTTCTACAGCACAGAAATATTTTAATTTCTTCACAACAAGCTGCCATTTTCTATTTTATGAAATGAATAATTTTTATATTTAAAAGTTATAATGCAAGAACTGGTGTATGTTGATAAATTTCATAAGAATGTTATCTCCCCTTGAATGTATAATGGCTTTCTCATTGTTTATTATTACAACAGTTTTATAATAAATTGTAGACAGTACATCATTCATTTTTAGATGTTCTGCTTAAGAACTGTGTCTAGGATTAGAATCAAAAGAGTTTTCTTTAAGGGTAATGCCATTTTAAAATAGGAACTTATCTTTTTTATTAAAATTTCTACAGACAAAGTAAAATGTTCTGTGAACAAATACAAAACTGAACACTAGGACTGGGCGAAGTAAGAAATTTTATTTCGTGATACATCGTATGTTAGAGTTCGCGATTTAACATATGTCTATTGTAAAAAATATTTGTAACAATTTTCTATGAGAAATCTTTAAATCAATCAAAAATAAATAAAGCAATATATCTATTACAAAAGAAAATGCTTCTATAACATCAATAGAATTGCTTAATTTTTTCAATTAAAATAATAAAGATGTCTTAAAGTAAAAACAAACAAAAGCTTTATTTAAGATTTTTTTTTAAATTAAAATGACTTAAGATTTATTGGTTTAAAAATAATACTAAAGTGTGAAAAAAACAAACCAAAGAAATGTTCACTTTAGTAAAACATTTTTTAAATTATTTCTTGAAAAAACCTGTGCTTTTAAAACATCGTTAGACCTTTTTTTTTTATTTATTATACTACTTTATTATAAAATAATAAAGTTATATTGACCAATGATCAAATTCTATACTTAATAAATGTAAAAAAGAATTAAGTTTTTTATTTATTTATTATTTTCTTTTTTTTGTAAATAAAGTCGACTAAAGATTTATTTATTTAAAAATGATACTGACTATCTAACAAATTATGAAATAAACGAGTATTGAAAAAAAAATTTGAAAAAATACTTTAGAGCCAAATTTTTTTGAAAAAAATAACACGTACTTTGTTTTAATTTTTTTATAATTAAAAACGACTGAAAATTTATTGGTTTAAAAATATTCAAATTATTATACTTACGTGCATTAAATAAATGGAAAAAAAAACTTTTTATAATAGAGTAAAATTGTATCGCTTAAAATGAAAAACAATAATTAAAAAAATCAATGAAGAATCTTTTTTTTATTCATATTTTCTTTTTATTAATTGGCTGGTTCAGAACGAAAATATAAGCTTACGCAGATTGCGCAACGGTCGCAAAGTAACTGTAGATCTATTAAAAATAATTGAAAGAATCGTTAAATCCTACAGGAAGAAAAAAATTACGAAATAATGCACAACGAAACGATGATAAAATTGGTAATCTAAACAGTAATTCTGAAATTACAAACATTTAATTTAAAATAATTTCCTTTTTTTTTCGTTTAACTTATAGTTGAATAAGTGGAAATTTTGTTGCGAATTTCAAATTTTAACTGAAGAATTACATAATTTATGTGATATATTTGCACCTTTTTTTATCTATTAATAGTATGGAAATTTCATGTTATCAAAAATTACTTAGGTTAAAGTCCTGATTATACTTTTATGTATTAAAAAGTCTGCCTAAGATATGCTAATATATTATTGCAAACTTGGTTAAAGATAAATGAGTGCTGAGTGATAAATGAGTAGTTTAAAATTCAAAATCAGACTCAACATACTTTTTTTCATTGAACATAAAGCTTACTAAAAATAAACCTTTTCATTAAATCAAGTGTCGTCTTTTGAATTTTCTAATGACTTATTGATTGACCCTAAAAAAAGACTTAAATAGGGTTTCATTTTATAAATAAAGTAGCATTTAAAATAAAAATTTTGTTTCTTATTTTGAGAAATTTTGTAGGCCCTCTCAGTTTTCACATCTTCTGAAAAAGGAATAATAATTTTTTTTTAGATTTATAAAATGGCATTGCTCTTTAAATTATTTCAAATATATAGTATATTTATATTTTAAAAAGTACTTTGTTAAATTTTATTGAATAGTTACTTTTCGATACTATATAAAATTTTAAAACAAATAAATATAATTTTGTTAAAAGTTAAATTATTGTAAACAGAAATAAAAGAGAATATTAGTTGTGATGGCTTTGTTGAAAAGCAGGATTTTTTAAGTAACTGTTCAAAAAAATAATTGTTTTAAATAATTTTATTCTATGACTACATTTATAAATTATGTAATTTTTTAAAAATCAAAAATAATAATAATACATTTAAATGTAAAGATATGAGCATAAAGTATTTCCTTACTGGTAGTATTAGGTTGGGGCAAAATTAATATAATATTTTCTTTAAATAAAATGAAATAATTATAATATAATTTTACTCTTTAAATTAATGCATTTTATGCGACAAGAAACTAGTTAAGTTACATCTATAATAAGGTTAAGTTACATCTAAAGATATAGTGTTTTAGGTATATATTCAAAGAATAAACATAAGTCTCTACCTCAAAGACTTGAGGTTTACTTTCTTAGGATGCAAACTTGGCTTTAGGAAATTCCAGCTTGATCAAATTGATAACTTTTTTTTTGTTTTTGTAAAAAATTTCATTGTTTGTTTTGGATTTTCCGGCTTCAATTGATTACCTCGGTAAGTTTTCACAAACACAAAAATAATCTAATAATTATTAAGTTGTTGAAATCTAAAATTTTCCCTTACAAATATTTTTAAATAAGTATTGAACAGTAAATTACCTTTCATCCATTATTGTGTAAATATTTTTAGTAGGCTATGTTTTGCTGCAATCTAAGTTTAAAGTCATAGAAATAAATTTGGCAAAAATCTTGTTTTGACATATTTTCTTGATAAGGTCCTAAGATTAATGTCCTGCTATAACAAGAACACCTATCTATGGGTTAACATAAATTATAACAGGAAAACATATTTATGACATTTCTTCAGACTTTCTGTGTAAACACAGTCTGAAGAAATATCATAAATATGTTTTCCTGTTATTTAGTATATAAATAACCTTGAGGTTTTATTTGTTTTCTGCATAGCATTAGACTCATTATAAACAATTTAAATGCCAATTTTTTATTGTTTCCACCAACTTACGTGAATCCTTTACCTTTACGGGAAAAATGGTTTATGTCCATGAAAGCTGATTCGGGGGGAAAACAAGAAATTTCAAGGTTTGATAATTTTTAGAAGCAAGCATTCAATTTAAATGTCGCCCGGTGGCTGAGCGGTAGAGCTTCGCGCTGTGGTGCCACAGGTCCCTGGTTCGATCCTCGGGCCGGGCAAGGTTGACTCAGCCTTTCATCCCTTCAGTGGGTCGATAAATGAGTACCAAGCATGCTTGAGAACTAAACACTGGGGGTTCCGCGTTCGGCTGACCACCTGACCGGAACATCTACTCCTGCACCCTAGAACCTATGGTTAAGAAAACTGAGATGGGCACAGTAGGCCTTGGCCGTCTACGTGCTGTTGCGCCACTGAGTTTAGTTTAATTCATTCAATTGAAATCGTAAGAATAAGAGCATGCACGACTGTCACAAACATTAATCTGAATGCTCTGAAAATTTCAAAACAAAATTTGCATTTTTGATGTTAAAAAAAAAATTTTAAATTGTGTTGGACAAGAACTATTTTTTCCTAAAAATTTCTCTCCAATGAATGCTTACTTACTTCTACTCCCGTCATCTTCTTCACTATGCTTTTCTTTGTTCTTTTTCTCTACTCTTCGATAGAAACCGTTATTATCTAACATAGCTCATCTGCACTAGGGATGTAACGAATATTCAATTACGTATTTTTTTAAAAAAATATTTTTTTAAAAAGTTTTTTTTTTTTTTTCAATTTTAACAGATTAAATAAAGAGTAATCTAATACAGTACAGAACCTCTTATCCAGAAAACCGGAACGAAATTCAATAAATATTCCTGCCATTGTTTAAAAAAAAAAATTTTTTTTTTCCTCATAAGATTTTAGGATTTTTCTTTCTTTTTTAAAAGATGTTTCCTTTACCATCATATTAGAATCATTAGTTTCCTACACTGTCAAGAGAAGTAAGAGTCTTGTACTAAATATCATCAATCATTCCCCTACATAGTTGTTTCTTTTCACTCATAGCTCAGTGAGAAAGAGTGACTCATTGAACACCTGTTTTCTTATCATCTGGCCCTTAAGCAGGGAGAGTCATTACTACCAGCTTCTCACAGTAGGAGTCATCATGTCTGTTGATTGCTTAGTCCAGGAGAGTTAAAAACAAAATTTTATTTGTCTTCTTTGATTCTTAGAAATCTCTTAAAGTACTTTCTACAGGGACTATAAAAACTCCTATTTTTCCTATTATCCTTGTACCCCTTATTTTTTTTTCCTGTTATTTCCTACTCTTCTTATTTTTTGAAAAATTATCTGTCATTTCTGCTATTCCCCCTTTGAACATAGTGACAGCCTAAGAACAGGGAATAATGACTCAAGGGCAAGTATTGCAGCTGCACCTGTTTTTCAATTCACTCATTTCGAATGGGGTGTGAGGAGGGGGCAGAACATGGTAGAACATAAATTATTTTTATTATGTCAGCTTCTGTGTCTGCTTGCCAATTTATGTTTAACTGGAGTGGAGGAGAAATAAAATAGCTCTGCTTAATGAGGAATAAGATAGTGATACACATGTTTTTCCTTCTGATTTCGATTAATGTTTTAGTAAAATGTTGAAACCAAAGTTAAACTCTTCTAGATAGTAATCGAGTGCCAGAATCTCGGCGATATTGTCGCAAAACGTTAGATAGTTTTTTGCAGACGATTTTTCCTTTGGGAAGTAAAAAATTTTTAATTTCTTTTCTGCAGAAATTTTCGAAATTTTTTTTTTTTCATCCAGAATTATATTCAAACTATGTATTTCTAGAGCATAGGAGGAGGGAAAAGAAATGTTTGAGAACAATAAAGTAAAAAAATTTGTTTTTCTTTTATCCAGAAATTTTCGAAAGATTCTTTTTTTTTTTCCATCCAGAATTATATTCAAAGGATGTCTATCTCGTGCATAGGAGGGGAAAGAGATGCTCGCGATTTTTCTCTTCTCATTTGTGAATAATGAAGTAAAAAATTGTGTTTTCCTTTGTCCCGAAATTTTTGAAGAATTCTTTTTTTCCCCCATCCAGAATAATATTCAAAGGATGTCTCTTTCGCGCATA